ATAAATTTTTATACCTAATCTTTAAAAAGTCATATCTTCTTGAGTTTTTACTCAATATTAATGATTTTAATATGTACCTTTTGAATAACAAACCTAATATGGAGCCTAATAATGAACCTAATATGAAGCCTAATAACGAACCTGATATAGAGCCTGATAACAAACCTGATATAAAGCCTGGTAATGAACCTAATATAGAGCCTAATAACAAATCTAATATAGAGCCTATGAAATCTGATATAGAGCCTATGGAAACTAACCTTGACTGTAATGATGAAAGTAGTGACGAAAGTAATGGCTGGAGTTCAAATGAAGATATTTCATTAATAAGTCCTTTGAATTTACATACTGGGATGACATTTTCTTCATGGACTATCGTTAACAAATTAATAAAAGCTTTTGCTTATCATAATGGTTTTAGTGTTCAAAAGTATCATTCTGAAAAGTCGAATAGAAAATGTATTAGATGCATATATTTGTGTCGACATTCCTCTATATATAAGCCTGTAAAAGATAAAAGTTTAGAAAAACAAAGAAACAAAAGTTCTGCTCAGATTGACTGTTCTTGGAAAATTCATATTCGATTTCAAAAAAAGAGTCATAATTTAAGAGTTTCCTCATTTGTTGATAAGCATAAAAGCCATCCTTTAACTCCAGTAAATTGCCAATTTGCACCTCAATATCGATGTTTAACTTAAGAAATTTCTAAAGACATTAAATTTTATACTCAAGAGGGTCACTTAGGAGCAACTGACCAATATCGCTTATTAAAGGCTTCATATCCCTATCATACTTTATACAAGAAAGACATCTATAATGCAATACAACAATTTCATAATGAGAATGATCCAAACCTTAATGATGCTGCACGATTACTTGAATATCTATTGGATCAAAAGTATAATAATAACAATTTGTATGTGGAATATAAGTTTGATCAAAGAACAAATGCATTAACAAATCTATTTTGAATGATGCCACATCAAATTTCACTTTGGGATCATTACTATGATATAATTATTCACGATAATACCGCCAAAATGAATCATTATGAAAAACTAT